TGCCCCTGCTGGGAGCTTTAGAGGCAGAACTCTCCTGGCCAGCCATGCCCAGGGACCTGGCCTGCCTGTGACTGCCCTAATGCTTCAGTGCAGAGGCCAGATGGGCTCATCACCCTGGTCACCTCTCAGCATCTTCTGCCCTTGGCTCCCACAAGCATCTAGTTTCCTTGGGCACTCTGTGGGCTTGTTTTGCCAACCAGCAGGGTCTGCTGTTTTGGAAGTGCTTTGTTTGGAGTTCACACTGTCACAGCACTTGCATTCAGCGTTTATTGAGGAAGCAGCCTGTGAGATCCTCTGGTGGATCAAAAGAGGCTTCCAAAAGAGGCCTTCAGGCAAGGCTGTGGTTCCATCACACAGTGGCTCACTGTGTCTGAGGGGTGTTCAGGTGCACTCTTAAATTGTTGTCCAGGTCACAGCACGACGTGCGGCTTTTCCCAGGCCTCTCAGCCAGGATGCCTGTAAGGCCTTAACGTGCTTATGGCACATTTTGTGTTTCTCATGCATCTCAGCTGCTTTGTGTTCATCTCTTCAAGGTTTCAGCATGGACCTGGAGAAGGTGCAGGGCCTGCCCCACAGCTACACCAAGACATTTGATGTGCGCTTTGAAAGTGCCCGGCAGCCACGTGGTATCGTGGAAGTGGTGCTGCCCATAAAGGTACCACAGCTGTTGGGGCAGGCAGCAGGCTGGGCACAGCAGCAGATGTCACCTGCACCCTCTGCTGAATTCTCTGTCCTTCTCCAGGTGACAAAAGGCCCCATATATAACATCCGTCTCCGTGCCACTGTGTCTGAACTGTCACTCGAGCTCTCCAAGAACACTCTGCAATTCTCTACTATCGTCGTTGGGCAGTGCAAGGTTGAGACAGTCCGGCTCTACAACTGGTTCCGAGTACCCTGCAAATGGTCCATCAAGCCTGTTCCGAAGGTAAAGCACAGGCCACGTTGAACACATAACTTCTGGGCTGGGTTTTCTTTATGACTCTTGCCCTTTCTGCTCCTGTGGCTGCC